ATGTTTTTACTGTTCTTGTGTACATTTGGAAACCTGTTTCCAAATTGCTCACAGATTGTAAAAGCACTAATTGGTGATACTCCTTTTTTGGTTCATTGACTTCCACGTTCTCGGGCAATTGTTGGTATCAGTTAAAGCATGAGCCTATCAAAGGTACTGCTTTTAACGAATGTAATTCAAGTGATGTTGTTAATTTGGGAGGTTATTTTCAGCTGTGTTTACAACATCAATGACTACTGATATTAAGCTGGCCTAGATTACGCTTTATAGCAATTGCCAAATTTTGAAATAGTATGCATATGAATAGACAGCAAGGTGAAAATGGAGGTTTGTTGAAATTGGAACTAAAGAAAACGTTTCAGAATTTAATACTTCCTCTTTGTTATGAATTTTCCATATACATACATAATTAGGTGTGTACCTGGAATGTGAAATAGAATAGTATCCAGGAGGAAAAAATTGCACTGTATGTAAAATTAGAGGTTACATTCACTTTTAAATATTTCCAGGGATATAAATCAGTTATCTGTAAATATATGTGTGTAGCCATCTGTGTGTGTGTGTGTGTGTGTGTGTGTGTGTGTGTGTGTTTTGGTGTTAGAGTGAAGAGGGACAGTGATAGAAGCAAAATAAATAAAAAAGTCAGAACAATACTAATGATTTTTGTTTTGCAATTCTTCTTTAGTGTCTTTATATGCTCCTATAATACTGGTTAGACATTTGTCAGATAATTGTCTTTTCTGAGTTCACATTAGATATGTGAAGCTTGAAGAATCTGGGAAGTTTCTAAAACTGAGAATGTTAGTATATTAAGAAATAGTACCTATAATATAGTAACATAAATACTGAAGGGAGAATAATAAGGGCAATTTTAGTAATTTCTCAAAAATAATTTCTATAGGAAATTAACTAAAAGGTCTCAATTTTCTTTTTTTCTTCTGAGATGGAGTCTTGCTCTGTCACTCAGGCTGGAGTGCAATGGTGTGATCTTGGCTCACTGCAATGTCTGCCTCCTGGGTTCAAGTGATTCTCCTGCCTTAGCCTCCCAAGTAGCTGGGATTACAGGCACGTGCTACCATGCCCACTAATTTTTTGTATTTTTAATAGAGACAGGGTTTCACCATGTTGGTCAGGCTGGCCTTGAACTCCTGACCTCAAGTGATCTGCCCACCTTGGCCTCTCAAAGTGTTGGGATTACAGGCATGAGTCACCATGCCCAGCCTAGGTCTCAATTATTAACGAAACAAGAATAACATTGGAAGTTCTATTTGTGAAACAGTGCAGAACAATGTAAGGAATATTTTAAGTAATCATTCGAGTCTCTGCTTTTATTTTTTCAAATAAGGAAATTCTGACTAGCTTTTAATGTTTATTTCAGTATTCTTTTTTGTTTGTTTTAAATTGTACTTTGGGATCTAGGGTACATGTGCCATCCTGCATCCTGCAGGATTGTTGCATAGGTACATACATGCCATGGCAGTTTGCTGTCTCCATCCCCTTCATCGCCTACATCAGGCATTTCTCCCGGCGTTATACCTCCCCAACCTCCCTGCCCCTTGCTGTCCCTCCTCTTCCCTCCCCTCTACCCCCCACCTTACCCCAGTGACTTTTGTTCCCTTCCCTGTGCCTAAGTGTTCTCAATGTTTGTCACCCGCCTATGAGTGAAAACATGCTGTGTTTGGTTTTCTATTCTTGTTCTTACAATGGAAAAAAAATGTGTAATTTTATGGAGTTGACCATTTCTCATTTTATCCCAAGTATTTTGACTTGTAAAAATACATACCTGACATGTTCCTTCTTCAAATGTGCATGTAACAAACTGATTACTGAATATATGTGCGACTCATTCCTTTCTCATTTTTTTTCCTCACTTTCCACTAATGTTTTTTGTTTGATCAGTCTCTGGCTTGAAAAAATATACAAGTACATTTATTTGTGAAGTTATTATCTTTTCTTTGTCTTTCCCTTTCTTTGTCTTTTGTGTGTTTGTTTATTCTGGAGCTAGAAACCTATACACTTAGTTTGGCAATAAATCCAGGAATGTCAATGTGATAAAATCACATAAAAAGTCCCAGACCAAACAGATAAGATGGAAAGAAGACCCTGAGAAGCAGATTAACTTAGTGCCATTAATTAACCTACTGAAGGTAGGATCCCCCATTTGTATTTTGAGTGGTACAACACAAGCAGCAAAAGGCAAGACACGCATTTTCTGACTTGAGGAATAATCTTTGAATTAGGCAAGGGTTTTCAACCTTGGAAGTACATTAAAAGGCAAGGGTTTTCAACCTTGGATGCACATTAAAATCTCCTGAAATGCTTTTAAAAATCCAATTCCCAGACTTCCACTTTCTGCTTTGGAATGTAGAGAGCTGCAAATGGTGTCACACACACCTTTTAGAGCAAAAACAAATGTTCATGGCTTTTCTTGAACCCATTAGAGAGCTGAGTCTGTAGGGCAGCTAACAAGAATAAAATATTAAAAGAGTCAGGCATCTGCAGGTATACAGCATCTACTTTCTTGGGGTAGATGTTATAAGAAGATACCAGAAAGAATAATTCAGCTAAAACAGATAATAAATTTGTGGAGCACAAGTGTGGGCTGGTAAGATATTATGAAGCCCCTGGGAGTCACAGATAGAGGAAAAATCTTGTTCCCTTGCATGTTCTTCTCCAGGGATCCCAGCAGGTGCCAAAAAAGGCTGGCAAGAGTTCTGATAAAGCATCTCTAACAGTGCAAGCCCAGAGGAAGGGAGCAACAAAGCCACTATGTGATGGCGCAAAATTTCAACAGGACTCTTGCCCCCCATATCCTTCATAGAACAAGAGTTTAATCTACTCAGATACATTGGTGATAACCCGTTGAAGAATAGAAAAAAACATGCTGCCACCGTAAGGAGGCAGGAATACCAACTTGGCCCTAAATCACAGCTGGGAATGAGGTGGGAGCATTGAGAAGACGCCACCCCCAAAACCCAGGGACACGGTGCTGTTCTAAGACATTTGATTTTGTTCTTAATTAGAACAAAATGAAACACCCTCTACAAGTCCTGCACAATCAGATTAACAAGATCATCTAACACATAAGACTGAAATACTGCTGGGAGTCAGACAAGAATTTGAAAACACAGCCTCTCCAAGGCATATAAAGAGAAGACTTGAAGCTGATGGTGGAGAAGCCTGAGAAAACCCTCTAGGAAACCAGTTCTTACTCTCAAGTTACTGCTAGAAAAATTTAAAGTATATGGTTCTTTGAGAATAGGAAAATAAAAGTGTTTTTTCCATTGTCACATACCACTCAACATTCTCAATACTTTCAGAACGCTTTTAACACTGTATGTGTGGAAATTTTTTCCTCAAATCCCAGCAATTCTCTAACAGATAGCACCTTGCAATTAACTCAATTCTGACCTGATCTACTTGGATAGTGTCAGATCTCACATAACTAAGTCCTGTAAGACTGCTCACACTTTAGATGCCAGTAACAAGTCCCAGGTTGTGACCTGTTCTTCTAACTGTCCATAAATCAGGGACACCTGCACCCCCTCCCCAGGTTAATTTGCTAGATTGGCAGAGGTAATCTGACCTATTCTTCTAACTGTTCATAAATCAGGGACACCTGTACCCCCAGGGTAATTTGCTAGATTGGTAAGTAATGAGAAAACAGGTGTGGAGCGTCCGTGTCTTCTCTGGATGCACCATCCTTTCAGGACCTCCATGTGTTCAACAACCTAGAAGCTCTCTAAACTCTGTCCTTTTTTTTTTTTAATGGAGGCTTTTTTTTGTAGACATGATTGAGAGAATCACTGACTACTGATGATTTACTCAACCTTTAGTTCCTCTCCCCTCTCTGGAGATCAAGGGGTGGGGATGAAAATTACAACTTTGTAATCACAGGCTTGGTTCTCATGGCAACCAATCCCCCCACTCTTGGGGCTATCCAGAAACCCACAGGCACTAGTCATCACTTTGAAGATTCCAAGTGCCTTGGGAGCTGTATGCCAGGAGACAAGAACAAACATCGAATACATATTTTGTAATATAAATTACAATGTCACAGGTTCACTGAGGGTTGTAACCATACCTAAAACAAACCTTAAACTCAGACTAACCTCTGACTAGACTAACATAATCTCCACACTAAATGCCTAACAGAAGGAAGAGTGCTCATTTCCAGGTGTAAAACTTATATACCTGAGCCTGTAAAGTTGATCCTTGAACACTGACTCACCAAGACTAAACTAATAGCCCACTGTTGTCAGCAAGACTTACTGATAACATAAACAATGGACTAATACATATATTTCATATGCATTATATAGTGTATTCTTATAATAAAGTATGCTAGGGAAAAACAATGTTATTAAGCAAATCATAAAGAGAAAATATATTTACCATTCATTAAGTGGTAATGAATCATCATAAAGGTCTTCATCTTTGTCATCTTCATGTTGAAGAAACTGAGGAGGAAGAAGAGGAGGGATTGGTCTTATTGTCTCAGAGGTAGCAGAGGCAGAGAAAAATCTGAGTATAAGCGAACCCAGGATGTTCAAACCCATGTTGTTCAAGGGTCTATTGTGCCTACAGGGACGTCTCCCTGGCTCCACGCCTCCATCCGGGAACCAGACTCTTCCTGGGTCCAAGAGGCTTGGTTTCAAAGGCAGGAGTTTCCCAGCCTCCACGTCTTCATCCAGGAACCAGAGCGGTTTCAAATCTAAAGTTCTTCGTCTGGGTTTCTCCACTTGTCGGCTAGCTGGGAAAAGCCAGGTGGGCTCTATTGTCCCAAGAAACCCGTGGAAAGCTCTGGGAGGAGGGGGCTCTGTAACTCTGAGTTGTGGACCAAGTAGCTAATCCGGTATCAGAGTCAAAGATCAATCACTCCAGAGGCAGTAGAAAGAACTCCTCTCATTGGACAAGAACATGAATGGGCAGGACTAACTCAAAGGTTAAAATTCAGCGGCTCCTTACCTGGACGGATTCCTTCTCTAGGCCTCCTGCAACAATAGCGTAGGTGCTGTCTTTCTCTCTCAAATAAATCCCTTTTCTGCAAAACTCTGGGTCCACGATATTTATTCCAATGGCAACCTCTCCTCGCCTCTGGGACCCCTTTCCCCATTCTGCGGAGTTAGCGAGACTAAGAACCTCTTTGGAACGGTGAGTTGCACACGCTCCCCTGGTTACACTTACACTATAATACACAGCCGGCCATTTTAAACAAAAAGTGATGCATATTGCCTAACTAAAATATTCAAAAGGATCAGAATCCAGTTTTAAAGAGTTTATTCTGGTTATGGCCATCCTGGAAACATGGACTTGAGAGAAGTAAGTTACTGCTCTGAAATTAAAAATTAAAGTCTTGCTTCTATGGGCAGAAAAAAGGAAATTCTATGCAAGGCCAGTGGATGAGTTACAATTTAATTAATGAGAACTTGTTTTCTTTTCTCTTCAGCTTGTTTTCTTTACAGCTTATTTTCATTTCCTTTCCAATTTAAATGAATGTTTTTAACATTCCACTATAGACAATGTGATAATCATGAAGCCGTTTTTGTGAGAAAGGTGAGAAAGTTAATCTATAATGAAAATCAATAGGGAAGAGAAAAGAGGTCTTCCCTGGTACCGTTTAGGCTCAAAATATTTTAAATTTCCAATCGGCTTAAATTTTGAATTACTTACCTTCACAGTACAGAATGCAAGAAGAATAAACACAGTGCCAAGAAATAAAACAGTCAACACAGTGATTGTTAGGTATGCCACAGACACTGAAACTATCTGACACAGAATCTAGAATAACAGTGTATATATTAAATTTGGATGACATGCAATATGAGATGTGAACTTTCAGCAGAGAAATAGGAAGTATAAAAAGCAAACAAATTGGAAGCACTAGATAGGAGAGTAACAGATAAATAATGCCTTTGGCTTTTCAGTGGACCCAAAACATCGAATGGGGAAATAATCTGTTAATTAGACAATAAATCAATATAAATTATTCTAAATGACGAATAAAAAGAAAAATTAGGGGTTGCATGTGCTGATGGTGGGAGAAAGGTTAACCTAAAAAGGTTTTGTGAGGAGAAAGTTTTGTGAATGATGGAACTTCTTTTCATCATGACTCTGGAAGTGGAAACAGGGCCTGATGTATTTATGAAGACCCATATAACAATGTGTCAAAAATAGTGTTTCTTTTTGTGAAGTAAAAAAAAAAGTAATTTTGATACCCAGAATTATTTAATCAGCATCTCTGGAAATGGGATTATGGCATCAACTAGGTGATTCTGACATGCGGATAACAGAAAACAGCACAGAGAACAGCTGCCAGAGTTGCCATGTATATTGGTGAATTTATTGTAGTGTAAGTATTGGTTCCAAAACTTGACTGCTCTTTGAAAACACCTGGGACCTTTTAAAAGTACTCATGTCTGTCTTCTTCCTTCAGGCATTTTGAATTAATTTGTAGGACATGATATGGCTATCAGAAATTTTAAAAACTACCCTGATTCTAATGTGCAGCAAAGTTTGAGAACCACTGCTCTTGACCAGCAGTTCCTTGACTTAGCCTGCATGAGCACCATTTGTAGGGGTGTGACAACACAGATCACAGAACCCTGTATCCAGAGATTCTGATTCAATAGATCTGGAGTGGAGTTTAAGAATTTGCATTTCTAACAAGTTCCCAGATGATGTCAATGCTGCTGGTCCTTCAAGAATTACTTATCTTAGAACAACGCTTATCACTTACAGCTGTACTGATCATTCAATCTGGAGTAAGGGCTAAGGTTCTGCATTTCTAACAAGCTTTCAGATGATGCTACTAGACTGAAGATTGCACTTTGTCAAGAGTCTCTCAAGTTTTGGATGGCTTATGGAGAAGCGGCAGTAGCAGTGTATGGTGACATCTGTATACATTTAAAGCTTGAGAAGTTCTTCTCTAGAGGTTAATGAATGTTAAGCATTGTATTATTTGTAATCTCACTCTTCATTGGTCAGTATGGTAAGACTTTATATCTCAGAGGATAGACTTGCTCACCTAAGTACATGACAATTTATTAATTCACAATGAAAAATACAAGACTACAGAGGAAAATCAATATATCAGGGTCAGCAAATGCCTTTGTAGTATGGAAAATTACAGGGATCTGACCTATTGGAAGGCAGCTTGATAAGTCAGAATTGGAACAGAAGAGGTCAATTTATTTTACAAAGTGCTTCTCAGAAAAGGAGGCTGCATCATTCTCATCCACTGAAATATAGCCCTGTCAGAAAAATCATAATATGTGACTTTTTCTGGTAAAGATGTCACTTCCAGGAAGCTGTCTAACAGACCTGCCAAGAACTTTCTCTCTCATGTGGTAGGCAGGATTTGTGCTCCCATGGTCTTTGCCTCTTGGTGTTATGGCTGTGAATATGTATGTTACATGGAAAAAGGGAGATCAGATTTCAGATGAAATTAAGGCTGTTAATCGGCTGACCCTGTGATGCGAACATTATCCTGGATTTTCTGGATGGGCCTAATCATACGGCCTCGTAAAAGTGGAAAAGGTAGGCAGAGTGTAGCTCATACAAGTATGACATGAGAAAAGCTTAATCTGCTGTTGCTAGATACGAAGATGGAGGAAGGGGCCCATGAGCTGAGGAATGTAGGTGGCTTCTAGAAACTGGGAAGGATTCTCAGCTGACAGCCAGTACAAAAACGGGGACCTCTGTCCTACAACCACAGGGAACTGCATTCTAAATTCTGCCAACAACCTGAATAAGAGAAAAAAAAATGATTCTTAGAACCTCTAGAATAGAACAAAGGTGGCTAACATGTTAGATTTGGCCTGTTGAGGACCTATCCTGGACATCTAAACCGGAAGACAATAAATGTGTGTTTTAAGCTACAAGGTTTTTAATTTATTTGTTATGGGAGCAATAGAAAACTAATATGCTCAGCTTTTCCACTCCTTTATTGCTGACCATACTTCTATGGGAAACAACCTTGCTATGAATGATCAGTAAGTTCGATTAGGCTATAGAAATATTCTAGTCTGAGAGGTAGTCCTTCTACTTACAGTAGCTGCATATTTGTGCTCCATTCCTTTATAGGTTGAATCTAAAATACAGTTCTTGAGTAACAATATTTCCTCTCTAATTTTCAAATTCCCATCATGTGATGGTTTATGTACTAACAAAAACTTTGATGATTTGGAATTACACACACACACATATGTGAATGTATATAACTGAATAAATATATAACTGTGTGTGTGTGTGTGTGTGTGTGTGTATATATATATATATATATATGTTTGTCTCTTGGTATCCATGGGGGAATTGATTAGAGGAGCTCCAGTGGATACCAAAATCCATGGATGCTCAAGTTAAGTGCCTCATATAAAATGGTGTAGTACCACTTACAAAGTGCTTTTCCTTATAACATATGCACATTTTCCATTATACTTTAAATCATCTCTAGTTTACTTATAACACCTAATACAATGAAAATGCTGTGTAAAATAGTTGTTACACTGTATTGCTTAGGAATAATGACAAGAAAAAGTGTCTGTACATGTTTAGTGCAGATCCAATCAGCATTCCTAAAAAATATTTTTAATTCATGGTTGGTTGAATCTACAAATCTGAAACCCACAGATACAAACTGTACTCACACACTCACCTAAAAGGTAAACTTTTCCACACTAAAATAAAATGTACAATTTTTTTAAAAAGTTAATAGGAAATGTAGTATAAAAAGTATAAGCAACTTCCTTAATAAAGGACCCTTACCTAGATCTTCTTGGATAATATTATCTCAGAAGTATTTTATTTCCCCTAATATGGCAATTTAAAAGATTATTTCTTGTTTCAATATTTCCTTCACTTCACTCAAATTTATATGGGTAGAGAACTTACTTTATTGATCACTATTGCATCATCCAAAAGATACATGGCATGTAGTATTTTCTTGGTAGACATTAGTTGAATTAATAAATAGATAGAAAATAAGGTTAACAATTTAACCCAGACACTCAACCAAGACACATGGAACACAGAATGGCCCAGCAAGGATGGCAGGTATCTAGTGTAAGAATTAAAGAAAGAGGAAAGAAATACGAAAGGTGGCTTGCTGGTTAAGACAGGTTTATTTTAGAGAAAACAAACCTGAGAGGAGCTTTTGTCCAAGTTAGGTTAGAGGCACACTTTTTTAGATACTAAGAATTTTTAAGGTTTTAAGGTGGGAGAGTTCATTAGAGGCTTGGACTACTTTTGTGGCTTTTTTTGGGTGTGCTTATTTGGGAGGGAGAGTTGTGTTTTCGTTCCCGTACATTTTCCTCCAGCTGCACGCATACCCCCCTGAGTTTGCTTTTAGCTTTCCTGACTTAGTGTACCTGAAGGGAAAGGAATGTATTTATTAAGACCCACTGTTTTACTGGTGCCCATAGTATAACAGTAAAGTTTGGCAGTTACCCAAAAAATGTTTCCACTACCTTCTTTGTGCCCAAGCTGTTTTATTTGTGTTTTACTGTATGCTTTTTTCTGGCTGCTTATAGTTAAAAAAATAATTTTCTTAAAATGCATAAGGCTAAAAAAAAGCTAAAACTAAAATAGTGATATTTGTCCAAAATAATGGTGCTTCTGCTCTGTCACCTAGTCATAATCTTTGTTCAAAATATTAGATGTTGTGATGGTTAGTTTTATGTCAACTTTACTGTGCCATGGGATGCCTAGATATTTGGTTAAACATTATTCTGGCTGTGTCTCTGAAGGTATTTCTATATGAGATTAACATTTGAATGAGTAGACTGAGTAAAACAGATTGCTCTCCCCAACATGGATGGGCCTCATTCAGTTCATTAAGGCCTGAATACAAAGACTAAGAGATAATTCTCTCCTTTTGCCTGTCTTTGAGGTATGACATTGGTCTCCTCCTGCCTTTGGACTTGAACACAAACTGGACCAGCACTATCTGGTCTCTTGGTTGTAGGCATTTGGACTCAGAAACTAAACCATTGGCTTTCTGGGGACTTTAGCCCACCAACTATAGATCTTGAGAATTCTCAGCCTGCATGACCATACCCTGTTGTAGCCATTAACAGTCATAGTCAATTATTTGTTGCAAAGCAGGTGACATTGCCTATAATAGAGCATGTCAGGGTTTCCTTAAAAGGCTGGTT